TAATTGATTTGTGTTGGAACAAATAAATCACCCAAGATTCTCATTAAAAAATCAGTCAAGTTTGGTAAGGGAAAAAATCATGGTTTGGAGTACATTTAGTATGGGGGTGTGTGAGAGCGTGCTACATCAACAGCCTGAGGTATCAAGACATGTGTGCTGCCCATTACATTATAAACCACGGGAGAGGGCAAATTCTTCAGCAGGATAGCGCTCCCTCTCATACTTCAGCCTCCACATAAAAGTTCCTGAAAGCAAAGAAGGTCAAGGTGCTCCAGGATTGGCCAGAATCGTCAGCAGACATGAACATTATTGAGCAAGTCTGGAGTAAGTTGAAGGAGGAGCCATTGAAAATGAATCCAAAGAATCTTGATGAACACTAGAAATCTTGTAAGATCGCTTTCTTTGCCATTCCAGATGACTTTATTAATAAGTTATTTGAGTCATTGCAGAGATGTATGGATGCAGTCATCCAAGTTCATGACAGTCATACACAATATTAATTCTTTTTCCACTGCACCATGACTTTATATTTTATACTGTACATTATTTCTGTTAAGTGACACGATGTTTGTCTAAGCAAAGTCAGACCTTGCTGTCCTAATTAAATAATTAAAAATCAAGGCATGATCATATTTTATTTACACTGTTAGACATTTCAAAGGGTTTTTACAGTAACTTACTGGCAACACTGTTGCCAGTAAGTTACTGTATTTTAGATTTACAGTATACAACTGTAAATCCGTTTACAGCATGTTACCGTAGTGTCTGAAAATGGTTAACTACTGTAAAAACCTAAGTTAACAGTTAGCTACTGTAAACCTTTTAATTTTGTCCTAAATATTTTATAATATAATTTTATTAATATTATTTTAATACTATAGACCTAAAAAAGACACAATTACAAAATATTAACAAAATAAACACTCTTTATTTAAAACATTGGAGATGCTTAAAACAAGCTTAAAAATGTGTAAAAACATTACATTTCAATCATTCAAAATATTTTATTTTAAGAAAAAAAAACATTGAAAATGACAAAGCACATTAACATACATGTACAAAACTAATTGAAGTGTCTGACCTGCATATTGTTGAGAAAAAAAAACAATTGTACTAAGTACTACTGACATTAAACCAGACACAATTACAAAATATTCCATTCTTTAAAACATTAATAATGCTTAAAGCATTTAAGGAAAATGTGTGAAAATTACATTAAGCAATAAAATCAACACATTAAAAATAAATAAATCACACAAAGCACTAGAACATACATGTACAATAAAAATTTAAACTTCTGAATTGCATATTGTTGGAAAAATAAATATTTGTAACTATTAGCAGACTCAGAAACAACCCAACTTTAAAATAGTACTAGTTCTGGTGTCAAATGTTCAACAAGGTCTGAATTCACATGTTCAAATGCAATTCATCTTTATTTCTATTGCACTTTTACAATGTAGATCAATGATGTCAAAGCAGCTTAACATAGAAGTTCTTGTAAATTGAAGCTGCTTCAGTCCAGTTTTCAGAATTGAAGCAGTAAATGTCACTGCTGAAAGTCCAAACACTGAAGAGCAAATCCACCGATCCACCAATCGTAGCCAAGTGATCCAGTGGCGACAGTGGCATGGAACAAACTTCACCAACTGACGAAAGTGTAGAATAAAATCCCTTGAGAGATACCAGGCTCAGTTGGGCACGACCAGTTCTCCTCTAGCCAAACTTGTGCAAGGCCGCAGTCTAGGCACCAGAGGCTTGAAAGTTCACCAGCGGGTGGTCAGGCTGGCCCATTGGATCAATGCGGAAACTCATTGATCACGTGTGTCTTTCAGGATTCACTCCTCCATGACCACCACAGCATCTGGTCAGGATTTGGCCCAGTCCAGGATTATGAAGAACTCTGGATAAGGAGAAACAGACTAACATAAGCATAGAAGAAGCTTGTTTAAAAAAAATAAATCATATACTGGTTAATTATTTTGAAGCATGGCAGCTAGGTTGGGCTAGTTTTCAGCTGGTTACTGGCTCCTGCTCATAACCTGCTCACTACCATGTTTAAAAGATAACTAACCAGAATGTCCTGTTTATTTTTTTCCCTAACAAGGTTTAACAAAAACATTGTAGCATTTGTGATGGGTTGATTCACTGCAGGACAGATTAGACTATTTGTTTTATGTATTCCTAATAAACTAAAACTGACTGAATACTGATAAAACTATTGAGAGTGTCTCACCTAATCCAAGTTCTCAGTTAGCTGGTGAAAGAAGGATAACTCACTGTTGTTCATGGTTGTCATTCTCTTCACTACTTCTCCTGCTATCTTCTGGCTCACTCTGGTTGTTGCTGTGCATTTTGTTTCATCCTCTGAAATTATTTATACAAAAAAATGTATTATTTTATTTATTACAAAATATTTAGGCAACATGAAATGGGGAAAAAGACATTTAATACATAGACAAATGCATGTATCCCAATACTAATTATTGTATTTTGAAATGTCTGACCCATGACAGACCTCAATCTGCTCAAAAATATTATAAACAAAGATGAAAAAAAAAACTACTAAATGGTTTAATAAAAAAGGGAAAACAATTTTTTATTTAGCTAGCAACTAAACATGTGACACATTTTGTATTAAAAGTAACGTTACTATATTGAGAAACAAATAGATGTACAGTACTTACTGTTGTATGAGGTCCAGTTTGCACAGGCAGGCTCCCAGTATTCAATATTGAGACCATAAAAAAGCCAAAAATACAGATAAGAATACCATGCTACAATCCACAACCTCCACACAACTTTTTTTATTTGTTTACCTTGGTTGCTTACTGGTCTTGCTTATTTTTTAAGCATAAGGCTGTGCTGATCAAGATGTTCCTCTGAAATGCTGTTTGTTTCTTCAGACAAAACCTGGTGCTGTGCTCGTGCCATATCTAAACAGAAAAAAATATAATGGTAACAATTATGTTAAACCAAATGTCAAGAGTTGTGATAAAAAAATAATTAGCAAACAATAAATAGCAAAAAGGTGGTTATTAGCATAATGCATAGAGGTAAAATTGGTTTTATATTAGCAGATTCAGACTTCCCCCTTAATAATTTAATTTCATAAAAGTATTATTTGCAAACCTAAATAGCGAAATCATTTTAGCAGCTAATAACTATCAAAGTATAACGTGCTCAAGGTCAAATAAACAATGTTAATGTTGATTTCAAGTGATACTGGCATGCTAATTCTGATCGAATATTCAAAGTAACATGGTAAACAGTATAGAGTCTTCTAAATGAACGAATGTGCGAATATAAAACCAACTTTACCTCTATGCATATTGTAACGTTATAGATTTACGTTAACGTTATAGGTTACGTCGCGATGTTATTTTCTCAAGCTAACGTTATAAGTTACTCTAAACCAGAGAAAAATAAGTTCACATCTAATATATATAGTATAAATCAATATAAGTTAAACGTTGCACGTTAAAATGAGTTTGAGTCCAATTCAGTATAAACTTAGCTCAGTTTAGCTAACAGTTAACATTACCATTTTAAGATCGCTTCAGCCAATGTTGCCGAGCAAACAAATGCTAATAGAGGTGCTCAAATCAATGTCGAGTGTTGTCAGCACAGACAGACGCGCTTTTACCTGGATTATTTGTTGGTCTTTCATTCATATTCTTCTGGGGGAAAACACTCTCTGCCGGACCGTTGTCTCGTGCTAAGTGTCCTCCAAAACTGTCTTCGTTACCTCTGGTTCCCTCCTAAACCAAAACCCGCTGCAACACCGGTTCCTATGTAAATAAATAAAAAGATATGACGAGAACAATGGCTAATAGTCATAAACAGTCTTATTTAAAGTAATAGTAGTGTTAATGTAATAAATTAAATAAAGGTAACATCTTAATAGATGATATATTTCTCAAATGGGCGAAATAACGCCAAGCCAGAGAAAATAATAATAGCCAACTTTATACTTTACTTTGTTCTATTCTCGTCCACAAAACATTCTGTAAAATGAAACACTGCCTCAGCTTACCAGAGTAAAGTTTGTTAAATCCAGTATGTTCTTCAGGCACACTAATAAATTGTCCTCCAGAATTGCTCCAGGGTCCTCAGGCAAAATGTGGTGCAGAGTAGTCGAATCGCCGCAAGGTGGCGTTGAAGCAGTTGTGGAAAATACAGTATAATACACGAATTTTTACAAATACAGTACATCGCTGTATATGTTGTTCGACGTCACACTTAATTCCCATAATGCAACGGTAAATACAGTTATTTACCGTGAAAGGAATTTGCAGTATTACACTGGGTGAAATACAGTAAATAACTGTGTAATTTACAGAAATGTCTAACAGTGTAGGTAATATTGAGGCCTTTGCCTTTCATATAAGCCACTTCTGATACCAACTGATCTACTAGAAGTCAAGTTATTATTTGTTATACCTAAAACTTAAGAATAACAAATAATAACTTATTTGATAGGTGACAAGACTTTTGTCAGGTAGTGTAAGTGGATTGAGAATAAAACAAATAAATTGTTCTCAAAACAAGTTTGAATAAATAACAAACGTCATTTTTTGGAGTGTACAGTGCAGCCCATAATCTAAATGACATAGAACCTGTACATCCTGTAAAGTCCCTGTAAAGCATGTATTTGATAAGGTTTAATAACTGCATTTTGTGCTTTCTCTATCTCATCTAAAAGGCCTTTAAATAGCAAGATGCTGTGCTTCTTTTTTAATCCTGAAGGCTGAAATGAGCACAAGCAGGAACGACCTTTGGGACCTACAGTGCCAATGCAGGAATGAGGAAACTCAATTTGGAAAGTTAGAAATGCTTGGGTTGCTGTTCCTTCCTTGCCACCAGCGAAATACACATGCACAAAAAAGTGAGTCATTTCTGCCCCTCATAGTGATCTCCAAAAAAAAAAGAAGTCCAGGCCTCTATGGTGAGCGCACAATGCTCTGCTTCCATAAACACTTCATTAGCAATTCAATTACCTGCGTGCTGACAGATCTGGTGCCATCTGTTGCATTCACCGTCAGGTTGTAATGGGATTTCTGCTCTGCGTCCAGCGCTTGGGCCACAATCATTGTCCCGCTCGCCTTCCCCACCTCGAATCGACTGTCAGAATTACCACCTGTTGAGAGGAGGTTTTCAGCACAAGCAAAATAGACAGGAAATTAGACGGCCATCATCGCAAGTTAGCCAGTTGAAGACAGGAGAGAGAGAAAAAGAGAGAACTGCACAGGTGGCAAAAACCAGTGTCACGTGTGTGCTTTTGCAGCAACTGTTTGACACTTTGAGTGTGATCACAAAAATGGCTGACAGACATGCAGACTACCATATCATTGCCCTAGCGCTTAACATATATGACTATATTATTGCTTAGTGTTACAAAGTGATAACAAATAATAGTGTCCACAATAAATATAGAAATAAATACAAGCAAATATTATTATATTATATTATATTATATTATATTATATTATATTATATTATATTATATTATGTCATGTCATGTCATGTCATGTCATATTATATTATATTATATTATATTATATTATGTCATGTCATGTCATGTCATGTCATATTATATTATATTATATTATATTATATTATATTATATTATATTATATTATATTATATTATTAATTCATTTTCTTTTCGGCTTAGTCCTTTTATTAATCTGGGGTCGCACAGAAGAATAAACCACCAACTTATCCAGCACACACTTAATGCAGCGAATGCCCTTCCGGTCGAAACCCAACAATGGGAAACACCCATACACACTCATTCACACTCATACACTATGGTCAATTTAGGTTTTTCTATTTACCTATACCACATGTCTTTGGACTGTTGGGGAAATCAGAGCTTTATTACATTATATTATATTATATTAATTTGATTGTGATTACTTTTTTGCTAAAGAATTATACTAATAAAAATAAATGACCAATGTCTGTCCAGATTAAAAAGTCAACCAAAGCAGTTTTTATTTTATTTTATACAAAATTTGATTACCATTATTTTTTTCTGCAGTTATTAATAGGTAGAGAATTAGGTTCACAAAACAAATCTGCAGGTCTGTAGCCAGCCTGCTGAAAGGGGTGCTTATTTTTTCTCAAAAAGTAAACGTTTTTGCAGTTATTCACCTCCTTTTCTATTTAATCATGATATTTAAATACTGCATTTTTGCGACTATTTATAGCTGAATTAATTGCCGTATGGTCATCAAATCTACATGTTTTGATGTACCAAAACATTTCGTAAACATTTACAACAAAGAAATAAAAAAAATCTATTTTAAAAATAATTTTATCTTAATAAACAAATTTATCATAATACATTGTTAGAAAAAATAGGTATTTGTTAAAGTTTTAAATTAAAAACGTGGCCTATTATCATTTATTAAGCAAATAACAAACTGGCCAGCATATTTAACTTTTCTCAGTCAGAATTTGGCCATTTGAAAACAAAAGATTTTAACATAATAAAAATAATAATATAAAAATAATAATAATAATGTAGAGCTTCACGATTTTTCTAGCCTCTCTTTAAAAAAGTACATTCGAATATTCATGGATAACAACAATAGCCAGATTAGTAATAAAACTCATTTTAATATGGGCTACTTTTGGTGCTTCACACCTTTTTATTCGTCATTTCTTGTTTCAAAAATATTTTGGAATTGGCACAAGGAAAATCTAATACTTAATCAGTATTTCAACTTATTTTGGCATTTAACATTTAAGATTGCTGGCAAAAACCAATAATTATTAAAAAAAAAAAAAAAAAACATACTTGCCAATAGTTAATTATTTATATATTAATGTGAATGTTGAGTACACATTCCTCACTTGATTTCAGCAATATTATGCTCCTTTAAATAATTCTTATTACACCAATGTACCAGTCATCCTGCACGTATGATCTTGCCAGCAAGCCCTGAATCATCAACTTGATTATTTGACCAAACATAAATATAACAATAATAATAATAAAACACACACACATGAAAGAAAATGAGAGCGCAGGGTCTTCAAAGTGAACAACACTAAGTGCATAGGCTGGCAATGAAAAAAGTCATTCTTTTTGTATGCACTAGGTGGACATACATAAATCAATTTGTTGTAATAGCATAAATGTAACTCTTTCATTGCCAGCTTCTGTGCCCTCAGCAAGAAAGAATCAAAACTCAGGATGTGGTGCAACCAATGTGAAACAGTCACGACACAGCACAAGTACAAAAGCACATGACAGATCCCATAAAGGCAGTATTAGGAGATCTGCGGCAGATACCTTCTGCAGTGCAGTTCAGGTCGCAAGCCATCTGAACGATGTAAAACAGCTCTTTAGCCGCTATGTCCTCTTCCAAAGCCAAGAAGAGGCAAACAAGAGGAAGAAAGCAAAACCCAAACCATTCCAGAATAAAAGGAGAAGAGGAGGAAAAGAGAGAGAGAAAAGTAAAGTTTGTCAGTGACAGATTGGTTAATAGATAAAGGGACAGGGAGAGGATGCGAGCTACTGTAGTATTATTATTAAGAATAGTTCTACTGAGAAGATTAAGACAAAGATAAAGCTTATATCATGCAAAGACTTTTCATCTAAAAAGTTTGATTAGAAGATTTCATCAATTCAGCTTGTTAGAATGCAAGTTTGAGCACGTAAAGTCTGTCAAACAAACGGCGTACCTGTTATTTCAAACCAGACTGGTGTGTCGACAGGCTCCAGGCTGATGACCCCGAGCATGTGGGACACGGTGTCACTCTCCATGACAGAAAAGGTGTAAAAGGGCTCATCGAATACCAGGGGGACTGTGCTCGGCTCCGGCTTGGGGATCCATTCGATGTGTAGACGGCAGGTGGTCGATTTCTGGGGTCGGCCATTATCCACTGCTTTAATCTGGGGGTAAATGTTGAATAAAATGTAAAACCAGTAACACTATAGCTTAAAATAAATGAAAGGCTTTAGACATTTGCATAGCAGACTTTAACCCAGCGGAGGTCTTTTATCCACTCTTCGAAAACTGTAAAGGGTGGATTAACATTCATCATAAGATCAATGATCAGATGTGCTGTTATTTGTAACTTAAGGTGGTTTCTAAAACAAAATCTGGTATTTTCATTCTCAAATATATCCAGACCTTTACATTTTCGCAGCTGTCGCTCCCTGTCATTTATAAGAAGGCATTGACTGAGTGATTAACAGCTGATATTATCCCATCCATTCGCATGCAGTTAAAAAGCAGTGGGCCAATCAGAAAAGCTTTAAGGCATTGCGGGCTTTTTTTATACTGCAGCGAGTTGACTTGTCAACAGTTTTAAACTATTTCTGAGCACTGCATTTAGCTCCCAAAGTTTAAGGTCGCATGGATAAAATTTTGGGCGCATATTCAACCAAAACGGTCACAATTTCGAGCCCTGCAATTTCAAATTCAAGCAGGTTCAAGCACTTTGTCCGAAATCCAAGCACTTTTCTAACCTTGAAAACACTATATTAAAATCAAGCATTTTCCAGCACCCGTATGAACCCTGATTAAAACTATTGCTTAAAATTAATTAACCTGTTAATATCAAATAAACAAACAACAATGGTTTCATTGAGCTTATGATAAGATTTAACAAAGCATTCCATTTGTCTGTGAATAATTCTGTTTGGTATTGTTAGTGGTTTCTCACATCTTAAATTTAAATAACAAGTTAGAACTTAATCTGAATATAGGAAAATTGTATTTTTATTCCCCCAAAATCCTTTTTTTTTTTTTCTCATTTGAATGCTTCTGGACTTAAGAATAAATAAATAAATACATAAATAAATAAATAAACAAATAAATCGAATTAAACCTGCCATTTATATAGGTTTGTTGTTTCAAAGACAGTAAGGCTTTCTAATATGTTTACATAAAATCACAACAGTTTCTCTTAGAAAAAAATGCTGGTAAAGTGTCTCCACACTAAATGAGAAACTAAATATTCACGCAAGTAAATTATATACAAAGTGGACGCAGATGCATGAAAAGAGTTTTTACTACATGAAATTACTACCAGGAGGTGAAAATGATGTGGAATGCATGATTTGTTTGCTACGACATGGAGTTTGCCTCAATTGAGTGTTCTCGATTAAAAAATTTTCCTCGGAGGGGTGACTTATCAAGAGTGAGCGATGTGGTGCTGTGCATTTGGTGTGAACCCACCATCAGATTAGCTCTGAAATAAAAGTAAATGTGTTCAAGTCCTCAAATAATAAGATAGCAGAGGCTGGCAACACCAACGTGCAACATTCCATCATTCATTTTCTTTTCGGCTTAGTCCCTTTATTTATCTGGGGTCGCCACAGCGAAATGAACTGACTGCCCAGCATATGTTTTACACAGCGGATGCCCTTCCAGCTGCAACCCATCCCTGGCAAACAACCATACACTCTCATTCACACACATACACTACAGAATATTTTTGAGCCTACCCAATTTACCTGTACCACATGTCTTTGGACTTGTGGGGGAAACTGGATCGCCCAGAGGAAACCCATTTGAATGCTGGGAGAACATGCAAACTCAAACAGAAATGCCAACTGACCCAGCCGAGGTTCGAACCAGTGACCATCTTGCTGTGAGGCAACAGCACTACCTACTGTGTCACCGCATTGTCCACCATGCAACATTCATTCATTCGTTTTCTTGTCGGCTTAGTCCCTTTATTTATCCATGGTCACCACAGTGGGATGAACCGCCAACTTATCCAGCACGTTTTTACGCAGCGGATGTTCTTCCAGCTGCAACCCATCTCTGGGAAACCACCATGCAACATTTATATTCAAATATTAACATTTGGCTAAATATTCTGTCCATATTACGATATAATTAGGTGGAATTATTAGTCCAAAACTTGAAAAATCTGTGACATTTCACATTATACAGCTTACTTTGATGATATTGTTGGATTTTAAGAATAAAACCCAGTTCTGCATTACAGAATGAATAGAGCTCTATAAACACTATTAATAAGTGCTAGAGAAAGACTGGCAGCAGAACACCTGTCTGTGTGGCGTTTGGAAAGCGACAGATGTTAGATAATGAAAGAATGGGAGGTCTGGCAAAAAAAAAATGTCACCAGGCACATGGGCGGCAGGAAGTTCACTTTCCAGTCATAAAACATCAATCAGACGGCCATTCAAGAAAAATGTAGTGCGTGTCAAATCTGAGATCTCAGGTTTCTACATTCCAAGACACCTTAAATGCTGTAACCTAAGCTAGTAAGCAAAAATATATGGAATAAAACGATCCACTAAGATCAACTTTCTGATCTTTCCAAGAATCAAGCACAATCACAAATGACTATGTACAGTTGAAGTCAGAATTATTAACCCTTTAAATTATTAGCCTTCCTGTTTATATTTTCCCCCAATTTGTCTTTAACTGAGAGAAGATCTCAACACATTTCTAAACATAATAGTTTTAATAACTCATCTCAAATAACTGATTTCTTGCATCTTTGCCATAATGACAGTAAATAACATTTTATACAATGGTTTGTTCTGTAGACTGTAGAAAAAATAACTCTAAAAAAATATTGGTGTCTAATAATTTTGACCTTAAAATGTTTTTTAAAAATTATAAACTGATTTTATTCTAGTCGAAATCAAACAAATAAGACTTTCTCCAGAAGAAAAAAATATTATCAGACATACTGTAAAAATTTCCTTGCTCTGTTAATCATCATTTTGGAAATTCAAAGGGGGACTAATAATTCTGACTTCAACTTTATATGTGGTACAAACAAATGTGTGTGTACTTACCGTTAGGATGTCATAATCTACAGCAGAGGAAAGCTTCTTGGAGTAAACCATGCCAGTTTTGGGCTCGATGAAGAACTTTCCCTGTTCGTCTCCTTCCTCGATGCTGTAGGAGATCTCAGCATTAGGTCCTTCGTCTTTATCTGAGGCGATGACACGATACACGGGATCTCTTTTAAGAGCACGCTCTTTCTCTGGCTTCTCCCTTACAGGAAGTTTGATTTTGTAGACCTTCTCCATAAACTGTGGACTGTTGTCGTTCTCGTCCAAGACTTTCACAATGACTCGGACTGTGGTGGACTTCGCAGGAACGCCTTGATCAGAAACTGTGATCTGTAAGATTGAAGAATGCAATACTATAAGTGTAACTTCTAGTGTTGTCATGTTTATCAGATTCAGGTTAAACAATGGTAAATTTATTGATGTTAGCATTACAATTTCAATTTTATATTATCATGAAAACCTTTGAAAACATATATGTTATATCTAAAAATTATGACTGTTGATTAATTTCCAATTTTAAATATTCACAGTTAAATCCAATAGCACTTGTGTGTGACGCCAACCTGATTTCACCAAGTAGGACATGTTCCTGCATTTACTATGTTGATCCGGGAGCAACATTACAATAACAATGAGAATTAAGGGATACGTTTACAGTTTATGTTAAGTTTAGGCTTACAGTTTAAGCACTTCTATATGATTATTATCTAACTATTATTCGCCTCTGATTTTGGGAATAATTAACAGTTATTGTTGGGTTTAGGGGTAGGGAATAGGTATGGATTACATTTTTAAACAAAAATATGTTCCAGGATCAACAGATGTTAATCCAGGATGGCATTATACTTGGCAAAATCATTATGCGCAACATTGCAATTGGCTAAATGCTGTTTTGTAAATGCATGTTTAGGCAGTTTATAAAACTATATTTTTATATTAACAGTTGAATAATGTAATATTCCTTTTATGTAAAGTGTGTGCTGCATACTACTGAAATAATCGTAAATCAATTCACAATATCCTACTAGAAAAATAGTAATTAGTTATTTTCATCAAAAGGCACAACTGGTTTTGGCTTTTATAAAACAGCTTTATGCAATTTTGTGACAAATAAAATAAACAAGCATATCCAACCATCAAACAATCAAACAATACACTGAATAAGAAAATCAAATGAAGTGAACCCTATAAAAATATAAAATAAAAAAACTTTAAATAATACAAATATTAGCAAACAAATCCATAAAACACAATCCATGTTTATGTTGTTCATCACAATATATATTTACTTTTAATTTTGTTTTATGCAATTGCACTTGGGCACATTTGCTGAACAAAGAATGACAAAATGTAAAACCAGTACAACTCTAACAAGAGCAGAGCATCAGAATTAACTTTAAGACATGTACTTCGAGGTATTGTCCTGTTTTAGAAATAAATCCTCTACAGTCATCTTTCCATCAACCAAGTTTCTGTGTCAGCTCAATGATTGATTGGCGACGTCACCAACCGGAACAAGAGGTGGCAGCAACTCACCAAAAAGTTTGTTTACAACCATCATAAAACATGAAGAAGAAGAAGAATTTGCCATTCTCGCTATCATATGGATGTACTTTCATCGGTCAGACACCAGCTTCACAGCTCCGTGAATGTCAGTGGTGTCACTTAATGATCAGCGATTGGTAAGTGTAGCTTGTGTGGATGCTACTGTACTACTTGCTTAAAATAGTAGCATCGCTATTGAAAAGCTATTTAATTTTGAAAGTAGTGACGCTACCGCCACGCTACTGAGAAATGTAGTTAAACTAGTAGCGCCACTACTTGCACTGCTGCCCAACACTACCTAAAATAAAAACATATTGTAATTCTAAGTGTAGGTTTGCAAGACGGATGGATAAACAATCATATATACAGTTGAGATGATATGGGTATAATTTTAAACCCATTTAGGTGACTAGCTGTTCTGGCAACTCAATGAGTAGCTGTTTGTAAAAAAGTATGCACTTTTGCACATTCCTTCTTCAAAGTTTGATTTGTTTGGAAAGTAAGCTTCAGGGGACTGCTAGAAAACCCTGTAATCGAGGGGGCGGAAAGATTCATTCACTCAGATCTAGTTTTCTTCCTCCCTTTCATGTCAAATAACCCCAAAACCCGAGAGAGTCGGTGTCATAATGAACATTTTCAATTAGAGTGACAAAACGAGCGCTACTAAGAGCTGCACAGGACAATAATAGAACACGCTCAAGAATATCTGACACGAGTGATTGAAAACCTTCATTATACCGAGTGCTTCAATCAATCGCCGTTCAGAGGTAAAGAAAAATCTCCTGTTCAGAACACCTGGGCAAGTGTTCCTATCTAAGTCAATTGGCTGACAAAATTGAAGTAATTCCCCGTGCGCTTAGCTGTCAAGCAATCTTTTCAGAAGCGCGCAGAAAGGTGGAGAAGGGTTTCCGGGGGTGAGAACAGACTGTTATGCATTTCCCTGTGTGACAGTGGAACGACGGTTTCAAGATAATTTCTCTTTTATGACAACTGATGAAAAATAGCATTATGAATGTGATATTCAGGCAGGATATGGGCTTTTGAGTGTGCTTTTCATTTCTCGTCTAATTCAATTGTGTTTTTTGAAGACCTAGTAGTACTGCAGGTATTAGTAGATCGGTTTAGTTCAATTGTTTTGCAAGCACACTACTGTGACAAAATAAAAGAAGATCTGACAGCGAAGCACTTTTCTCGACAATATGAGCAATAATAGGTACAGGAGCTGTTCCAAACGAGCAGAGACGGCTGCATTAAGCAGACGCTGGTGGTTTGTTGAGCATATACTCATGCTCAGAATGCTGTGTCCAATCTCAGCTGGTATCCGTTAACCAGCTCATTAATTTCCTCTGGATATCTTCAGTTAATCTCGGAAAATGCCCATTTGTGGCCGCTTAATGGCACACTGGCGCATAAGCTGATGAATGCAAACACACAAAGAGATGCAGACATACACACTATTTCCTGCTAATGAACTCAGCAGACTTTGAGAGCAAAATACAACAAACTATCGCAGTCTACATAGAAGCAGATGAATAACAGGACGGCGTAGACATTTAGTAGCATCTGTTCAGCGCTCCATAAAAGCGCTCCAGCTTCTGGTGTGAACAGCGAGTGGACCTTTAATGTGTATTTGTTTTCAAAGCTGTCCATGTGTTTTGGCCAAACAGATTTAATTGAACAGCAAGACAAGGGACTCCGTCAGCTCCAACAGTCTACTCTCCTGAGCCGAGCACGTTTGAATGCCTGCAATGCAGCGCTTTTAAAAAGCCTTTCCAGTAACTGGAAAGAATTCAGACAGTTGAAATTAAATTTCCAGTTGACAATAAATTTTACCATGTCTGCTCAGAACATCAATTATACAACTAGATTTCAACATTTTCTGAAGTAAAACGGTCCACAGGGTAAATAAAACATCAAGTTTGAACGTTTGAGGTTAACGAATACCTCTTTTTAACAAATCCCTTAATATGTTACAAATCCCCCACATCAGTGTTTCATTCATTCATTCGCTTTCTTTTCAGCATAGTCCCTTTATAAATTTGGGGTCGCCACAGCGGAATGAACCGCCAACTTATCCAGTATGTTTTATGCAGCAGATGCCTTTACAGCTGCAATCCATGACTGTGAAACACCAATGCACTCCCATTCACACACATACACTACAATTTTAGCCTACTCAATCCACCTATACCAAATGTCTTTGGGGAAAACCGGAAACCCATGCAAACACGGGGAGAATATGCAAACTCCACACAGAAATGCCAACTGACCCAGCCAAGGCTCAAATCAGCAACCTTCTTGCTGTGAGGCGATCGTGCTACCCACTGCACCACCATGATGCCCGTCAGTCATTCATTCATTCATTTTTGGTTTAGTCCCTTTATTAATCCGAGGTTGCCACAGCAGAATGGACTGCCAACTTATCCAGCACATGTTTTATGCAGCGGATGTTATTCTAGCTGCAACCCATGGCTTGGAAACACCCATACACTCCCATTCACACAAATACACTTTGGACAATTTTAGCCTACCCAATACACCTATACCACATGTTTTTGGACTGTGAGGGTAACTGGAACACCCGGAGGAAACCCACACAAACACTAGGAGAACATGCAAACTCCACGCAGCAATGCCAACTGACCTTGCTGAGGCTCAAACCACCGACCTTATTGCTATAAGGCAGGGGAGGACTGGGACAAAAATTCAGCCCTGGCACTGTAGTCACACCAGCCTACATTTCCACACCGACACAGCCCCACCCACGGACACGCACATTCACTATTTATTTTGGTTTAAAGATGGTGAAATAATATGACATTCTTGCCAGATTTTGATTATGTCCAGTTAACCTCAGATTGCGTCGGCGCATCTTGAAACCAGACGGCAGTTGCCGATTGGGCCAAATTTTAACATTTATTATTATTATTATTTTTATTATCATCAGCATAATATCACATCTAGCAAGAGATAAAAGCTGTCTGCACTTAAGTACAATACATATATAAAAAAAATAAAAAAAACTGACCGGCCCACATTTAAAAATTGGTCCGACCCTTCTGGCATTTGCCAGAATTGCCAGATGGCCAGTCCACCCATGCTATAAGGTAATACTGCTACCCACTGCGCCACAGTGACACCCTTTATAGTTTCATGTAAGCTATAAAGCAAAAAAATGAATGTGCAAAATTAATAAGTGACTATTTGCAGTGTGCACAAGTCTCGCACATCCCTACTCACAAGAACTGACTTTAAATAAAATGAGAAATAAGAAATACCTGAGGTAGAGCGACTGAAAAGTGAGTTGAATGAACCACCACTAATAGGTGAAAGCACCCTGAACATTATAAAATGCGCTTTGAGCTCTCGAGCCAGTAACGCATTTCACATGCCTGGAAAACAGGCAAAGCAACGCCCAGCATCCTCAGACGCCCAGAGAGCATTCCCAGAAATAAATTTCATTTCTTTGCAAATCAACTTAAGTGAATTGTGGGCATATTTTCCTGTTTGGCTATAGAAGTTCAAAGAGCAATGGGCAGACTCTCTGACATGCGGTGCATGCCTCAACATGTTCCAGAGCAGCTCTCTCTCTGTTCTTTATTTTCTTGAATTTCCCTCCCCTCCCCCTCCAGGAGCATTTGCACCTTACACCTTGTTTCCCAGCTCTTAAGTGTGTGTGAAAGTTTGCAGGGCTCTCTCCCATATATCTCACACACAGTGAGAGAGAAATGCCCTCACCCTGGCCCCGTAATACTGCCTCTCCCTCCCCCTCAGGCATCTGCTGC